GTATCTCTAGTCAACATTCGAATTTGTGGTCCATCAAAGACTCCTTCTTTTAATTCGGCGTCTGAAACATTAGGGAATTTAAGGGATATATACTTATAGCATTTTCCATCTTTGTCTAACGCTTTGACAAATTGCTTCATGAGCCCAAGCTTTATGTGGAGGGGTGGTAGTATAATTTTTTCTGGATTAACGAGGCTTTGGTTGATGACATTATGAGAACCAGGTTTAAGTGAATCTCTTAAAGGCCAATGTTTTTTTCTGTAATGATTGGTTCGATCTCTGCTATTCCACAGGCATATAAACCATGGCTCCCTTGTGAAACCCGATTGTTGGCCTAATATCATTGTTATGATTTTGAGATCACCACATATTTGCCATTTGTGATTAGTGTAATTAACTTTTTCAAGAAGCATTTTAACATTGTTATATTCTTCTTTGATGACCGTTGAGTGCGCTATAGGTATAGGAGCGTAAGTATTCGTGTTATGCAGTAAAACAGCCTTAATGCTGGGTTTTGATGAATCAATGAAAAGTCGCCATTCTTCATCTTTGTACACATTTTTCTTCAAGTGGTTCATTAGTCCGTTAACGTCAGTGCAGTACACTAAAGACGTTTCTTTGTCTTTAACGAAAAACTGTCTGAATTCTTTGTCCCTGTCGCGATAGAATGAAACTTTTGTCTTTGGCTGTAGAAGATTTCTTCTTTTTAGAAATGAAGCGGCGAATTCAGCGCCGTCTTTCGGTAATCCAAGGTCTCTAATAAAATCATTCAGTTCTAGTTGCGACACTAATATTGGAACCTTCGATTGCATCTTATCCACGCCATACTCGTCATCTATTTCGTCGTTTTTATCGGATTCATCAGAACTATTTCCTGATTCATCACTGGTTTCACTACCGTCTTCATGACGTTGACTTTCAACTTCCATTCTATCATCTTCTAAAGCGCTTGAATCAGTCTGACGTGCATTTTTATCGATTTCAATTGCTCTTGTGACTGTGCACACATTAATGTACGAAATTTTCTTTTTATTTCGGCGTTGAACCCTTTGACGGAATTCATGCAAAAGTAGCAGTCCTTCGCAATAACGGGTCTTTTCCATGTGGTTGGTGTAGAGTACTTGCGGTACTTTTCGTTGTTTGAATTTTTTAGACGATACAACATAAGTCTGCAGGAATTGCAAATGACGTGAGGAACCCACTTTGTTTCTTGGTGCAGCAATTTACGGTTGAAACACTTTTCATAAAGACTTTTCACTTCCTCGTCGATTGATTTTCGCAAACTGCTCACTTCATATTTACTGCAAATGTAACAGAATGAATCTGAGCTATTCTTGCAGGCATGCGATTGCGAAATGCACGCGGTTTTTTTCCTTGTAGCATAAGACTACACCAACCAAGTGATCCATTGATGAAGAGCTACGGTTGCATGATGACGACGTCGGAGAGACCGCTTTCCCACTCTGACCAGACGCCGATACTGGGGTTTTTGCCTGCATCGTAATACACTTTCTACATACTTCTAATACACTTCTAGCACAAAGACCCAAATGTATTACTTACGCCCTCAACGACATTTTTAGGAATTGCATATTTCAACATTCACTTGTAATATAGCACTTACATATTCAGCCTTGACGGCATACTCAACTACAGATTTATGGCTGAAAAAATATACACATACAAATATAACACGTACAACATGAACTGCAGCAATATTATCCAATTACATGACATCTGAAATAATAATGACTTTCATACAGTGTCTAATATCTGAGATAGACATTATTATGAGATGGCATTATTTTGAAATTTATTTGCCTCAGTGCACGATTTTTCGTCATTTTTTGAGGTTATATCTTAACCATGACCTGATGGGTGATTTTTAACACCGAATTTGAATTCAGCGCCCCAAAATCCATAGGAATACGTGTGTCTTGTTACCAGATCCGCATACTTTTTTTTTTTTGTGTGGCTGTGTAATTAATAATTCGTTTGCGAGGTCAGACAGAATTGATTTCTTTATTTGCAAAGTATTTTCTTTTATACAAATGTTATTGATACCTAATTACACTAATACTTACAAACTAAATGTACATAATTTCATATATGCAAGTCAGCATATTTCAGTGGCCTACATATGACTGATTGACTAATATAAACCAATATGTAACATGAGTGCAGGAATGCATGAACTCAAGCTGAGTTCAAATGAATATATGGGTTATTAATAATTTGCTGTGTGTGTGGTCTGCATATGTGTATATATGTATATATTGGACAATTGGATATAGTGAAAGTGAAACGGATTTCAAATGCATGTTACACACGTTTCCTGGGCCCATAACCTCTTTTAGTTTTACTCCACTACTGACTCGTACGCAACGCTAAACTTAGAATTAGCTCATCCTTTTTTTTTGTACTCGCAGAGTACAGTTTCTATAATGGCAGGTAGCTAATTATTTATGCTCCAATCGCCAGGTTATCCTTATAACTTTTGTTTAAATTAGTCAAACTCGATTGTAATTCATTTGATATATAAAATTTTATCTATTCAAACGTTTCATTCGTGTTATTCTTATGTTTAATTGTATTTTCTTCAATATTTATTTTGGTTTAATTCAATTTTTTTCTGCGTATTGCGTTTACTCAACCGTGTGGCCGAGGAGCCATTTTGCACCTGCAATTAGCACATCTAAAATGGCTTGGATATCTGATGATTAGTGATATCCAAGACGTTATGGATTCGTTTCCAAATCATCTAAGAAAACAATCGAATATTATTTGTTGTTTAAAATTTAAACATTTAATATCTAACAATGCTGTTACTAAAGCACAAACAAAACACGTTTGCCAAATTTTCGAGTACACGACAAACCCAATTTCTAGGAAAGGGTGGGTGGCGTGCTGCCATTCTGGGTCCTAGCAGCTCGCCTTTTCCTGACATGTGTACAATGCTTTTTTATATCAGTGCACTTCCACATTTATCGTTACTATTTATTTTTATAAGTAGATATTTTTCAATGATTCGGATTTTCATTAGTTTTGAAGTCCGAAACTTTTTCTTTTAGTACACGTATGACATGGGAGAATGAAGATACAATTTCCACACGATTAGGGTGGGTGGAGGGTGTGGATGGGGTTGGGAATTTCAACGAAAAACGTTGCGTCGGTTTAAAGTAGTGCAAATATGGCAAAATATGGCTTTTACTCGCAAATAAATGTTTTTTGGGCTCACTTGAAAACCGACGCAACGTTTGACGTTGAAGATTCCCCTTTGGCTAGGTGACGATAAGTAAGTGTGGTCTATATACGTCCAGTTGCACTTATCGTTCGAGCCAGTTAAGAACAAAAAACAAAACAAAACAAAAAAAAAACGACGCTCCCATGTCGTTCTAATGTTGCCATATTTTTGTTTCTAGCGCAATATATATGGCGGCTATCAAACCAAATGATCCTTGCGGCGGCAAACTTGATGATATTTAGCTGACTAATACATGTCAAAAGCGTTGTTAGTGATGTCAAGAATTTACCGATTATTCATGTGCCGCTTTAGTCGATAATTGAACATTTCTCAATGGGTTTCGATTAGCTATCGAAATAAAAATTTTTGTTTAATAACTTTCATAAAAATAAATATAAAACTGTGCGCTGTAAGCGAACGTAGAAAAATGGCAATATGGGCGATTTTGCGACTGGCTCTAAATCTAAACATGCTTGAAGCTTGGAAACCTCAAATTTGTGCACTGCGTTTTTTTGGCGAGTAGTAAAAAATATACAATCAATTCACAAATATACAAATGTTTTTTCTAGATTTTTTTTTTTTAATTTTTGATTGAAATTTTTTTCGGTACTTCACTTTTGTATTTTTTATTATATTATCGAATTTTTTTTTTAATTTTTACATTTTACATTTTTTTATTTTCATTTTTTTCGTGCTTATTTAAATTTTTTTCAATATATTTTAGAGATATAAGGCAACAATAAAATATAAAATATTTGCATATGTAGTTGCATAAGAAAAAAGAACTTAGAGAAACCAGCAGGCAAATGCATATGTATGTGTAAAACAAGAAATCAGCAAATAATAAAGCGCGAAAAATTACATGGGAAAAAAATTAATAACTTTAACCACATTTTAATTTTATTATACTAATTTTAAGACCTACCATACATACATACAGAACATATGAAATGCTTGTTCGTAAAGCTTAGCCGATTTTTTAAACTTAATCCACAAGACACTAAAAAGAAAATTTTAATGCAGAAATGTTTCGAATTACATACATATGAAAAAGAGTTGAAGCAAACACGAAATCGTACACAACTTATATAAACATATAAAAAGAAAAACTTATAAACGTAAATGTAGTGCTAGAGCGTCGTTCTTCAACACTTAATATATATATATATATATATATATATATATATATATATATATAAAAAATTACAAAAAAAAAGAATTACATCTAAAAGAAAATATTAATGTAGTAATATGAATATAATACATTCGCAAATACTTCAATATATGCATATATGTCAGTGAGTAATTAAATAAAAATAATAAAATAATTTTTTTGTTTTTTTTCCACAAAAATTTGCAAGCAAGTTACTGCTAACAAAGTAAGAACAAAAACAAAGAACTAAAAAATGCAGTTGTACATACAGCGGGAAGTATTTTTTTCGTTTTTGTTGTTTTTGTTAATTTTTTTCTAGCTGCCAGAATCCAAGCTCAATTCGTTTGCGCTCACTACGCTCAGCAACACGAAATGGCAAGTAAGTACTTCAACATACCTAACCCTCTCCGTCTAAAAACAAACATACTCGTACATACTTCTTCCCGAAAAAAAAAAAAAATGTTTGCTGGCTGCGGCGCCGGCGCGCAACAACCACCACTACTATATTTCCTCCTGAGTGCACTCCAAAACGAAAAGAAAAAGACGACTATGACTTTTTTATAATTTTTTTCTATACCATAAAAATATATATACATACTTACAAATATGCTAGTGTATACGAATAAATAACTAATTTTTTGTTAATATGTATTTACTGCAAATTTTTTTATAGATTGAATACGCATTTAGTAGATATTCGCAAGTATATCCAAATGTTGTTGTTGTTCCCAAAGAGCAAAGGTGAGATTTTTTTGTATTTTTTTATCTAAACTTATATACGCACATACAAACATACTAAATATATATAGCAACCCCACTGGAAATTTACGGAAAAATGATCTGCTAGGGCAACAATAAAAGTGCAATTTTTTTGTCCAAAGATTTATTGAGTGAAAAATAAAAGTTTTTTTTTCTTTTTTGACAATGTAAATGCTTCTAAAATATGAAGTTCACAAAGTCTGCTTTGTAGACACAAACAATTTTTTTATGCAAAAAGATCGAAAATATTTTTTTTCCTTTATTTTTTGTGCACAAATCAATATATATTTTTTGTATCAAGTGTGTACAATATTAAAAGAAGAAATATACATACATATTTGTGTCCTATAGACAGAATATTTTTCCCAAATATTTTTTTATAAAAAAGAAATCATATAAAATTACGCAAATTGCTTAATGTGTCGATCTTTCAATAAATCTTGAATAAAAAGAAATTAGTCAGAATAGTAAAAAGAAAGTAGTTGTATAATTTTTGTAAAATGTTTTTTTACAAAAGAACTTTTATTTCAATTACTAATTGTAATGACAAAAATTAATAGCCATTAAGTATGCTTCCACATTTCATGTTTTAAAAGTTATGCCGGATTAAATGACAAAAAATTTAACGAGCATTAAATAATCAGCCCTATTTTGGTTGTCGACGTCGATGCCATTTTTTTTATTTTTTTTTTTTTTCAAAAAATAGCCCTCATCAGTCCAACTCCGGTTTCGCTGACCACAGTAATTTGGCGAGGAATACCTTTCAGTTATTATTTTCTAATCTGAATGGCTGTGATTCGAATTGAAGAATACTCGATATTTTAGTAAGTTTTGGCTATTTTTTCTTAGTTTATTTAATGTTTTTTATTTATTTTATGAAAGTAAAGCTCCTTTCCTAACAAAAACCATAAACTACCAAATTTCCAGCTTTGTGCAGAAAACTATAAAAATTAATTCTGCAATGTTTCGCCAAAATTTAAAACTTTTTAATTAGAATCTTTAGACAAAAAAATTAGTTTGCGGTTTTGTAAATTATTAAAATTGAGTATAATAAAGTGCGAGTGAAAAGTGTTGCTCATTTGCTTCTCCTTCAAAAAAACAAAAAGGTCGAACACACTTACTTTGTATGAAAAAAATTGTTAACCGTTAAACCGTTAAAAAACCTGTTAAAAAAATGCCAAAAAAGGCTTACCGCCTTACCGACTTAAAATTGCACATTATACTAAAGTTTAACGATTTTTTAAAAAATTTTTTTTGAAAATCTCAGAAAAATATCCTATAAATGTGTGATGTTACTATAAGGATACTGTTTCAGGCAAAACAGTGTGGAAAAAATTTCCAAATTTATTTTTTGTCCCGTATTCGGCCCTCATAAATATGGTCACCGTACATATATGTAAAAATAAATTGTGTTTATTCGTTACATGGAAGCAAACGCGAAAAAAAAAATTATAGAAACATTTGAAACTCGCACATTTTTAGACTAAAATTGAATGCGCTATAAAACTGCGTACTGAAAAAAATTCTACCACTTCTGAGAAAAAAGTTTGAAATTTAGGTAAAAATTCGTTGCATTTGATGGAGGCTTTTACTTTGGTTTAAAAATTTGGTTTATATGGGTTTTGTTAGAGAATGAACTGTATTTTAATTGAAAATTCTTAAAAATAATTAAACATAAGTGGCAAACAATATCACTTTGAAATGAGGGTGCTATAGATATGGCCAATACTTCACACTTCATGTGTTTGATTTGTTTCGAATTTTTAGGATTTCGATGATTCTTCTATGGGAAAGAGGTAGTGTCTCCGAGGTGGTCGCATACTAATTTGGTTTAGATCCGATCATTGGATCATGTAGAAATTAACGGTACACCTGAATTTGTAGATCAGAATTGAAGTCGGCCGTGGTTTTTGCTTAAAATATACTTCTCATTTCAATAGCTATGTATTAGAAATTGTACTATAATTGGTGACAAAAAATTTTTTACTGACAAATTTCAACTTTTTCATTTATTTTTCCGTAAAAACACTGTGACAAGAATTTGTCGCTGATACAGAATAGAACCGTGTTAATAAAAACGTAATGGCATAATGACAAATTTTATGAACGTAACGACTCGGATACATATTTTTAATGCACAACATTGGCGTACAATTTTTTGTCTTTAGCGTTCAGAGGAAATCCGGCATAACAATTTCGGTAAAAACAATTGGATATGAAAAATATATATAAAAGTGTTAAATAATTGTTTTATGTAAATAAATTTAATGTTTTTCGAAGAGAATTTTAAAAGAATGGCATTTATAACTAAGAATTTTGTACGAAAAGTCTATTACCAAACAATAAATTTTTAACGTAAAACTATTTATTTTCAAACACTAGTTTTTAAATAATGTCAAAGAAATTGTTTTTTTTTACAAAAAAAAAAATGTTAACGGAAAATAATTTTAACATGCACTTTTTTACATTTTCAAAATGATTTATTAAAGAATGATAGTCATGAAAGTTGTTTTGCGAAAAACATTTAATGAATTTTAAAATACGCAAAAAATTGTTTTTTTTTTTAACAAAAGGAACATATCTCTTACAAAAAATAATAACTATTTTTTAAAATTTTACAACTTTGTTTTTAATTTTGTAATACTTTTTAACCTTTTCTAATAGCATTTGTAAACTTTTTAAAAAGTTGTAAAATTCATCTAAATTTTAGGCACTTTTTTAACATGGGCGCTTGAAATTCTGTACTATATATTTTATGAAATTTTTTTTAAGAAGATGTCCGTCTGCGAGACTGCGGAATTATGAAATTTGAAAAGCCTTAGCCAATAATTTAATTGAATACAAAGAACAATTACTTGGTCTTCGAAACTTTATTTTTTTCCTTGTAAGTTGTTTTTTATGGTGTAATGTTTTTTTTATTAAACGAAAGTTCTTTTTTATTTTAAAATAGCTTAAAGCTTTTTTAACAGAATATTTTGAGTTAGTTTTTTATTAAAATTTTCATGATGTGTTTCGATTAGTGACGATTTTAAAAATAAGAAAAAAACTCAACAAATTAAACAATTTTTAAATACTGAATCTTTCATCAGCTAAAATGTAAAAAGTAACAAGCTCCAAAAATTTCCAAGCGAAACTTGCAAAGAATTTTATAAAATAAAAACACCACATTTTTCATACAAAATGACCTCAAAAATAAATAAAATAAAAATTATATATATTTCGTTTTTGTAAACTCCAAATAATGAAAAATATTTCTTGTGATTTTCCTTAAGAGCTGTATTCTAAGCTTTAATGGTAAAACGTACAGTGAAAACAAATATTTGGTTTGAACGTTGCTTTCAGAAAAAGAAAACATAATATTACACGTTAGATTTTTTATTGCTAATTATTTTTTTTAATTTTTAATTATTATTTGTTTTTTTTTTTAACTCTTGTCGAGTCATTCATTGTCTTCCTGTTTTTGCATAAAATTGTATATTTCTTCGAAATTTTTTTGCTCTTTATTTTTATTTTTTAATAATATAATTTCATTTATATTTTGTCCACAAGTTTTGTACTTTTTACGCTCCACGCAGGATTCAAGTGCGAATAGTTAATAAGAAAATCATAAATATTGGTTTTCTCTAAGAGGGATTTTAAAAGTGTTTGTGCGAAAGAAAAGGCTTTACAATAATAAACCCCATTGTAAGGGATATTTATCGCTACATAGTACTACATACATAAATATTTCTTAGTATGTATGTATTAAGTAAACATTTTACTAACACGCTCTTAACCTTTTTCTCGTATTTCTTTCTTTCATGCTGCCGCTTACATAATTTTGCTCTGTATGGCTGTCAATTATGCTACTCTTGCAACATCTGTTGCAAACTCCTACAATCAACTACAAAAAAAAAAAATCGATGCTAATTCAACGACGAAATCTTGCACTGATACAAACGTCTGCAATCGAACATCATCGCAACTTTACCACAAAATCTTTATAGGCTTCAACTACTCCGGCCTTATCGATGGGCTTTATCGCAATAAATCTTATCATTATCCATATTTATAATTCGTGAAAATGATGCTGGATGCAGTGGTGGCGGCGGCGGCGGCGGCGGCGGCGCCGAGTATAATCATCGCCTGCAACAAATGCTGTTGACGATCATGTTCATGTAAACGTTGACGATCACGATCACGATCATCCCACATGTCTCCTAGTACTACTTACTCCTCCTTTCTACTATTGTACAGTTCATAAGCTAAGCTCGCTCTCTCACAAGATTTATATACTCGTACATATATACAAATGTACTCTAGTCTCATTATACTAGACATTTAACATGCAGACATACATATGTACGTACGTACGTACTTATACATAGATAGTGTATTTGTTTGTAAGCGCTAACAAATTATTTAAATAGCGAAAAAATTACGTAAACGTTGAAGCGTTGAAATTATAGTTGGAAGTTGAAAGTTGGCATGTGATGGATTGTATGTATATTTGTAGAAAATGTTTGACGATCTCTATTTAGCTACTATTTAATGATTAACAAAACGTGTTGTTGTTGGCCCGAAAAAGTGCAAAACAGTTAAAAAAAAGACAAGAAATGTTTGGAGGAAGAAACTAGCCTCGAAAATCAAATAAAATTTAAGTGATTCAGTAGTTTTACGAGAAAAAGCAAAAAATAAAAATAATTAAAACGAAGTAAAATACAAAAAAAAAAAACAAAAATATAGTTCATGGATTCACAAGGTGTCGATTTTCAGTGATTCTTAGTAAGCTCAAAACATTTTTACACGTTTTAAAATTTGTTGACTTATGACGATATAACTAACTATTCAGCCATATCCCCAATTCCATGTGAATAAATCGTTCCCATAATTTAATAGGCAAAACCAAAATAAATTGGAGAAATTTGTTTTGGTTCTGCTTTATAATATTTGGCAATATTTCTTCTCATGGAATTCGGGATAAGGCCGATATGTCACCTTGTGAATATCCTAAGTATGTTGTTATCGTGTGGCAGAAAATATTTGCACTCGGGGAAGTAATGTTTATGGGAAAAAGTTTATATTGAGTATAATCGGCTCCTATGTTGAATGTCGTCATCGTCATTGTCCACGATCGTCAGCGTATCAGTAAAATGGCTGACGATGGCCGTAAAAAATTACCTATACAATTTTAAACATTTTTTTCTTAAGTGCTAAATGAAAGTTGGCATTTTAAAAATAAGAAATGTCGTATTTTTTTTTTCTTATAAGTTAAGTTCTGATAAGATAATTTTATTTATTTATTTAATTGAAATGAGAGATCAGCTAACCCTTTGTCTGGTGGCCACATGTCTTAAAAGCTTTAGTTTTAGGTTGAAGCTTGCATTTTTCATTTAGTAGATGTTAT